CACACACACACATCCTGTTATCACATCTTCACACACACACACATCCTGTTATCACATCTTCACACACACACACATCCTGTTATCACATCTTTATGGACACATCCTGTTATCACTTCTTTATGTACAATATATTGCTTTTTTAATTCACTGTGTGTCTAAAATTTGTGTATGTTTTGGTTTAACGTATATTGCTTTAGTATCAAAAAATGTTTCTCTTTCCTTGCAGGCTAAGGTTAAACGAGCTGAAGCCCTCTGTGAACGGGTTAACACAAGACGTCAACCTCACACTGTCGAGAATGAGATGAGGCAGATAGAATCCCAGTTAAAAGAAAAAGAACAGACGTACGTTGAGATCAGCTTTTTGTAATGTTATGAAAGATGTGATAACAGGATGTAAGTAGGACCTGAGGACTCGTACTTGGCACCTTCTGTCAAACTCCTTCAGGTTTTCAAGATCAGAGAGAATAAGTTACATCTAAACATGAGTTTAAGAACAGCTTGGATGATTGTGTTCACCTGTTTACAATTCAGTGGTTTAATTCACTGTGTGTCTAAAATTTGTGTATGTTTTGGTTTAACATATGATGCTTTTTTAATTCACTGTGTGTCTAAAATTTGTGTATGTTTTGGTTTAACGTATATTTCTTTTTAATTCACTGTGTGTCTAAAATTTGTGTTTGTTTTGGTTTAACAGTACCTTCCCCACCTTTTAACACAGGGTTGAAAGAAACTTGTATTAAATTTTGGTCAAAGCAAGCTACCTATAAAACACAAACTATTATTCCAGTAATGAATACAGTTAATTTCACATACGTTTTTTATTTATAATTATTATATTGTATTAGAATGCTTTGTCTCATCAGATGGCTACCTCCACTGTTAACAATATATTCAGCCATAATCAGAATAAAAACTCACAGTCCTAAATCTACATTTTAAGATAAAATAATCCTTATAATAAAAATATCTATATAACAAAAAATGGGCAATAAGTTACGTATTCCCACATTACATCCTAAGACTTCAACAAGTTGTAAACCGAACTAAGAACATTGATAAAGAAAGTTCATAACGTATAAAAGATCAGGCTAGTGCTAGATCTTTAGTTAAGTTTAACATAATTATACACGCCCTACACAAATGTAATGTACCCATCTATTCTAATTTGTTTAAGATCTTGACTAGGGCTAATGACCAACTAAACCTTTGCTGATTTAAAAACTAGTATGTTCTTACTTATATACTGAACTTTGTATTGTATACAGCCGTGCAATTTTCAACAACCAAAATTAATCTATCAACTAAAACTGATCACGACAACAAATTCTTCATTATACTGTGTATTCTACTAAGATATGGCTTCGTCACTAACATAAAAATACAAATTATTTATTTTCCTTTTCAAATGTTATTTCTTGTTTTAAATATAACTAAGTTACTTCCTTAAAATAAGTATACAATTTTTTTTTTTCAAAAAGTGTTTGTTTGTTTGTTTTGAATTTCGC